CAATGTCGATTGAAAGTGTGAAACATCAACCAGAACATATAGAAAAACAAAATTATCATCATTGAAATGGATTTTTCGCCATCATATTTTTCTGGCTTAAAATATTGTTTATTGAATTTGATACTTTGGTGAATACAATTTCATGACAATCAAATGAATCAAAAGTAGTCAGTTTTGGTCATATCATCATTCTTTATTTAAAATGACCAAGAAAAGAAGGTTTCAAGTTTTTTTTTATCATTGAAAACGATGATGGTCTGAACCGACTTGATAATGACCGTCCGATATAAATACGATCAACAATCGAGTCTTTTTTTCTAAAAATTCATTTTTAGAAAGTGTTTTTCTACGAAATTTCATTTTTGAAAAAGTTGTTTGTTCTCTGATGATCAATCAATCAATGAATCAATCGGTATCAATTTGGTACCGCAAAATACAATAAAAATCCAAAAAATATATAAATGAATTTTTTTTCTTTTCAATTGAAAATTGATCGATAAAATCTAAAGCAAAGAATAGCTGAATTGTTGAAATGTCAATAGCCCCCTTTTTACAATTTCATTGAAGGGGATTAAATGGGTGTGAATGAAAGGGGGTGTATGAAAAAATGGTTGTTCAAATTTTATTCGCCAAAAAAAACAAATTTTCTCAAAAAGAACGAAAGCGAAAATGGATTTTCTCTTTCACTCTTCTTTTTATGTCCTTTAAACCCACTTTCTCTTTTTTTCAGATTTTTATTACTTACAAAACAAAATAACTTTTTTCCTTTCACTTTGGAAACGGTAAAAAATGAAATGAATAAATAAAGAGTATCTATTTGAAAAATCTTTCATATTCTAATGGATGCCGCATCAGTTTGGCTGCTGGTTTTGATTGATCAACAACAAGTGTTTATATCAGTGTTTATGTTTACTCTAAAGGGGGCGAAAAAAAATTCGTGAAACCTATCTTGAAATAACGGAAAACAACAAAATACATTGCAATGTGAAAACTTTTATGTAATGTGTGTGATTTGATGAAATTTTGAAAATTAACTTTCATCAACATTAAATGTTTGTTTATTTTTTTACTGAATTTTAAATTTTTACGAAAAAACAAACCAGAAAAATTTCACCAGATTAATATAATTATGAGAAAAAATTCCTATTAAATCATCATCATTATCATCACGGTGGTCATCATCATCATCGACATAGATTAACTTCATCATCATCATCTACATCAACCGGTGAGATCCATTCATTTACATTCAAATAATTGTAAGTTAGTTTTTATAATCAGAGAAAAAAGCCTTTAAGCAAGAAAATTTTGTAGAAGAAAAAAACATCAAGATATAAATGACATGACATATTCCGGTTTTCGTGTTACAATTTTTCCATGACAGACAGTGTGGAAAAAGGGAAAAAAATTTTCAACAAAAATGCCATCAACCTAATCATCATCAAGGGCATATAAATGGTTAAAAATAATTTTTTTTTTTTTTGAAAATAGAAAATTTAATATAAAAAACTTTACAACAAGGGTCGTTGTCATTTATTTTCTCGCTAGAGAATAACGATGATTTGAAAAAAAAGTTTCGAAAAAAAAAGATTATTATCATAATTAACTGGGTAGATTGATAGAGAAAAGTTATTCAAATTAAAATTTCAAAGTTAAAGCATCCATCATCATCATCAGCATAATGAAAATGTTGATTGAACATAATTTTTGATCGACGAGAAAACAAAATATATGTTGATAATAATAAATCACACCTGTGCTACCTGCTAAAATTCAAATTTTTAGCTATAGAAAAAAATTACCACTAGCAAACGATTAAAGTAAATTGAACCGGTATTAATTTTTTTGTTTATTGTGATTATTCAAATCAATACAATTTGTATTTTGAAACATAGCCAAATTGAGAAATAAAAAAAAATGAAATCGATTAATGAAAATGAATGAATGAATGAAAAACATTCCACCCAAACCAAAGTATCCAATAGAAGAAATATTTTTACTTTATTTTTCGCCCAACATAGACATACCTATAGGTTGGAAATACCCAAAAATAGATTGGATATCCAAGATATCTATGCAATGTTACATTCTTTTTTGTTTCTTGTCAAAAAAAAATGATATTTTGATGTTCTTTCTTTAAATTTTGCATTCAAAAATATTTTTTAAAAAAATGAATGAAAAAAATCGATTCAAAATTATTTTCAGCAAAAAAAAAATGAACAAAAATGAAAGTTTTCCAATGTGAATGTAGAGAACAATTCTTCAATCATTACCGAAAATGTGAATGAACAAAACGAATAACAAATAACAAAAATCGATGATTGGCTACCAGATACAATAGCCGGTAGCGCCCAATATTTGACAAGGTGATCTATAGATTTCGTTTTTTTTTCATATCGGAAATGATAAATTAGTTTAGCTTTCAAATTACGGATGTATTTCCAACAACGAAAAAGAAAAAAAAATTTCCATTTCCTCAATTGATTCATTTTTAAACATTTGTAACTATGGAAAATGGAGCAATATCGTCATCGAATTCAATCTGTATACAGAACTTAGTACTTTTTTTGATGATGATGATGATGATAATTATGGGAAAAGTATCGAATCTTCTATTTGAATAGATTTCGGTTACAATAAACTAAAAAAATATCAACATCATTATTTGAAAAAAAATAGATCGATCAATTTTTCAATGTAGAATCTTTGATGATGATGATGACCATCATCTCTTGATTATGTTTGTCGCACAGCCAAAGAAGAAAAAAACTATCTGGAAATTATCATTTGTTACAAATGAAAAAAGAGAGAGAGAAAATCAAAAAAAATTTTTTTGATCGATCATCATCGAATTTGGCATGAAAAATGAATGAACAATGAAAATATATATTCAAATGAATGAATAATGATGTTTTAAAAGTTTGATCAGTTCATTGACCATTATCTTAATCATCATCATCATCATCATCATCATCATCATAATCAAATAGACGATTAAATGAACAAAAAAAAGAAGGATTTATGTCATACGAAATTTATATTTTTCTGTTGTTGTTGTTGTTGTTCAAAAAAGAATAATGTTAATATTGAAACAAAATTTTACTTTGTCAAGATAAACAAAAAAAAAAGATTCAAAATCACATACACACACACACATTTAACAACCAAGAAATAAAGATAATCGAAAGATTTGAATAACAAAACAAAAAAAAACAAGACAAAATAATAATCCATTTCAAATGGATTGTTTTTTTCTTCAAATCAATCAATCGATTAAAATATTTTCTTCTTTAGGGAAAACAAATAAAATCAATATGGGCGTTTTGCATACGAGCATGTAACAAGTTTTTGAAAAAAGAAAAAATTCGTGATCAATATTGAATACGAAACATGATGTAACAATATTTTGTGTGTGTGTGTGGATAAATTGCATTAAAATTTTTTCTGTTTCATTCATTGATAATCACCTGTAACTGACATTTCAATTGTGTTTAATTTTGATGTGAAAAATTTTTTTTTCCAGTTAACCTCGATCGATACGTTTGTTTTTGTGATGATGTGATAAAGATAAAGGATGAACCATTCGATGTTCAAAATTCTGAAACATGCAAACTATTATGATCAGCAATTATTATGTCGAAAAATGACAATAAAATATTTAAACATTTACAATTGATTGATCATTTTTCTACATGAAACAATATTACGAAACAATTCAAGAATGAATGAATGAATTGTGTTCACACTTGACATTTTCAATCGATTATTATTATTATTATTATGATAAGAAACATTTAAGAAAATTATATAAATTTGAATGTCAATTCATCATCAACTTTTGAAAAACAAAATTGATGATGACTTTATAACTAACCAAAAAAACATTAACTAATGATGATGATGATCTTCTCATCTAAAAGAATATTTCAACAGCAATCAATCTTGAATTTATTTGATTGTATATGATGAATTCAAATTGACATTTAGCGCAAAATATTCGTAATGTCTATCATTATTATTATCACCATCATGTAAGGATGAACATCAATTAATGGTTAAATTGATTTGTATTTCGAAATAGACAAGATTTGTTTTTCTTTTCTCGGATCCAATCATCATTATTTATAAATATAGAAATTAGAACAAAATGAATAAAAAACAACTGATAAATCTATCTATTTTTCAGCATTCATGGTTTCAATGAAGAAAAAGAAAAGAAAAACCAAATCAAACAAAACTAAATAATAATTATTTTACAAGTGAAAAAAGTATCATTTCATAAATTGATCCTGAAATGATAATAATGTTAATGTCATTGGAAAATGTGTGTGCTTGTGTTAGTTTGTTTGTTGAGAGGAAGAAATTTCATCAGTTTTGTTCTGGTTATCAAAAGAGAGCCAAGCAAATCTGGTTTTGAAAAAAAAATTCATCACAAATCACAAAATATATCATGTCGCCGGAAGCAAAATTAGTGTGAAAAGTCAAGTGAATTAATCTTTTATCTATGATGAAAGGGATGTGTATTTTTATAAATAAAAATATCCTAAAACAAAAACTCATCGACTAAAATTCCAAAAATATCTTTTTGAAAATGAATTTTGTTGAAATTTTTTTTTTCGCTTTCGTTTCTGTCAATCTAATTATTATCATTATAGTTTGATAAGCCGAATAATATGAAATTACAACACGAAAACATTACAAAGATTAATTGTATGGCGAATGAAAGCAATGAATGTCTAAATTATGTTTTTTCTTTCAAACAACTTATTGATGTTATCGATGTTAGCGAATTCGGTTGTTGTTGAGTTTGATATATTAAAATGGTTGACGATCAAAATAAAATTTTTGACAAAATTAATTAGTTATTATCAACCAAAAAATAAATAATAAATTATTTTTGTTTATTTTTTTTCCAAATAGCAAAATATCATCGTTCATTGATTCTGTGAAATTTTCAATTATTTTTTTTCCGATTAATTATCGGTCCACATATTTGCCCATCATCGATGGATAATTCAATTCATCATCAAATCCATTAAATAATAAAACAATAACTTTCATAGTAATAAATAAATCAGAATTTTCCGAAATATGGTCAAATTTCATCATCATCATCGACATCTACAATCATCATTGCCAAAAATGACTTTATTGCCCAAATTAACAGTTGCCACAATCATAAAACGATTATTGTTCAATAATCATAAAAACAATGATAATTATTCAATAAAACATTGTTCAACATTGCCAAAAATGATAATCATTTTGATTTTGATCATTTCGATAACATTCATCACAAATGTTCAAGCAAATTCATCATCCAATAATGAACCAATCGCACAATCGGAATCAATTTCAAAATCAACATTTCAATTGCGGCCAAAAGATGGCGTACAAAATGGTGAGGGTAAGTCTTATCCGGCGACGATAAACAGCAGTACAACAACGGCTAAAGGTATTTTATTCATTAAATTGATAATTTTATTTTAACCGATTTTTTTCCTCGATTAGATATTCGAAAACTATTAGAAGATTATGTTCAATATCTGGCAAATTTACCGGATATTCGTAAAGAAATCCGTGAGAAAAATAGTCATTCTAATAGTAAGAAATCTCAGCAGGATATTATTTCAACAGCTGAAACAAGTGATGAAAAAGCTATCCATCCTCGGCTGACAGCCTATCAAACATTTGTACCGATAACTAACCATCCAAGTTCTCAGGGAGAATATGTTTATCACCACGATTTGAATGAAGATGATGATGATGACGATATGAATGATGAACGACGACAACGATTACGAAATAATTTTGGCGAATCAAATGTTGTAGCAAAACAACAATCATCATCAACAAAACCGCAACGACAATCGAATACAGATCAGAATTCAATCATAATTCCTACTAATAGATATGCTGACAAATCTAGTGTAACACTTGGTTTGAATGATGAAGAGCTAAGTTCATTTATTAAAACTGTATTAGGAACTGTTAAAACGAAAAATGAACCAACAACAACAACCACAGAATTACCATTAGCGTTGATCGATGAACAAGATGATGAACAAATGATGTCCAATATGACTAACATCAATGATGGAACTTATAATAATGATCTTGCCATCGAAGAATTGATGGCCTATGTTGACCCTGAAGATGACGATAATGATGATGATGATGATAATAATAACAACAATAATGATGATGACAATGGAAAAATCGCAAATAACTTGATAGAACATCAACAGAATAGTTCTATGAATGAAACTTTCTTAGAAACAAGTACTATACAACCATTAATGATGGAAACAACGACATTCGATCCATTATTATCCGAAATGATTGTTACAAATGAAACAAATAATATTTCCGGTGAAAAATCCGTCTTCAATTTGAATAATGTTGTGGTTGATGATGATGATTTGTCGACAACTACGATGAAATCGATAATCGAGAATCGAATCAATTTGACAAAAATTACGGATGAATTTTATCATAAAGAAAATAAGGCTAATGATTCAAATCAACAACAACCACATATGTCGGAAATAAATCAGAATGATTTATTGGAACAGCTAAAACGAACACGAGAATTATTAAGTATTCAGATTGAAAAATTGAAAACATTAGAACAAACTGTGTTTCAGCGACGCAAAACTACAGCAGAAACTGCAACAACAATAACAGCAACAACTGTACCAATGATTACAACAGAATCACCATTGGATATGACGACCGAATCAAATTTGAATCATCTTAATGAACATCAAGATAATCAAATTGATCAACCGTCAATTGGTGGAACCTATATTTTTGATAAAAATTTACTAAATAATGAAACATCTCATGAAATGCTAACGACAAGTGCGCCAGAATATTCATCATCATCATTGAGAAACATTGAAATGACTTCATTGAATATTGATAAGAACATCACGGCTAAGGCTGTTGCAACCACTATTCAGCCAAATGATGATAATGGATCCTATTATGAAACAACAACAGCAATTCAAATACCAACTTATAAACATAATAATAATAATAAAGAGAAAAGTTTTCGATTCAATTTGATAAAAGAAAATGGCAATAATAATAATAATAATGATGAGATAATTTATTCGAAAAATTCTCCACATTCATCCAAATCGATTCAACCAAATGATGATATTATTGAAAAGAATAATATTAATAGAAACAACGTTAAAATTGTCAAGTCATCAAATAAAGATCAAAATAAAATAAGGATAAATGTAAATCCAGCAGTTTCTATTTTCAAAAATAATCAAGCTAAACAAACAGAATCGGATTCAATAATCAAATTGAATGATAGTAATTATGACAGATCAATATTATCATTGAAAACGACAGCTAAACCATTATTAATGCCAATCATTCAACAAAATAATCGATTAACATCGTCGATTGGTAATGATGTATCGAAAATCGTAATACCAATAATTAATTCATCAATGATTGAACCATTAAAATCACCATCTTCATTGTTTGCAATGGATGAACCAAATTCAGTTCTTATCTTATCACATAGTAATGGGGGTGAAGAAGAATCTACCAATAATAATAACAACAATAATGTTAATATTAAGAATAATGAATCCAATATTGAAACAATGATATTAACTCATGTGCCTAAAATAACTATTATTCATAAAATTATGAAACCAATTCGTACAATTAATGGTAACAAAAACAATAACGTAATAAAAATCGATAGACAAAATATAAAAGATCAATCAATCGATAATATCGATAATCAAAATAATAATAATAAGAATCGAGATTATTTATTTGAATCGGATGAAAATATCTATCAGGAAGCATTACGTCGTCATCAAGATCTAATACGATCAACAATGTCATCAATGTCATTATATCCGGCATCAATAAAACGTTATCGTATAAAAAATGGACCGGGAAACAATAGTCGAATCAATAGTGTGGGTGAAATTTATTTATTACCAAATTTTTCTACAACAAATAAATCACAACAAAAACAACAACAGCAAACAAATTTTACTACATCTTTTGTTAATAAAAATAATCAATCAAAATTGATAGATGTACCAATATCGTTAGCTAATGATTCATTGTTGTTATCGAAACAAATTCATACAATCAATAATGATTATTCTAATACGCATTATAGTTTAGTATCGGAATCAAAGGAAACATCTGTTGGATCATCAAAAACAATGAACAATTCAAATAATAACAATGAAAAAATTATTGATACAAACAAGAATTTGATCGATAATAATAAGCAAGTTGAAAACAATAATAACATTAACAACAACAACAACAGCGATCATATTATGATTCCAAGAAATAAATTCAATAATCCTAATGTTTTTCAACTTAATAATAAACAAAGTGATGAGGAAAATGATGACCATCAGAAAAATCCACAGAATCAGCAGTCATCATCATCATTGATAAATAAAAATGAAAAAAATCAATCGAAAAAAAGGCGAACAAAACTTTCATCAAATCCTCAAACAATGATGGCTATTAATAGACATCCGGAAAATTTATTACGATTATATCGTCCACGTTTTAAACATCGAAAACGTTTCCGTAAAATTCGACTTCCGAATGGTCATCGTTTTATTCGAAAAGATAACAATACATTAGCAACAACAACAACGATTATTGATACGGATGATTCTGTTAGTAATCAACTATCAGCAACAACAACAATACGACCATCATCAAGTACGATCGATGATATTTCCGATTTCGATATAAAAAAAGTAGAAAATAATGAAATTTTAAGACAAACAACAACCATATTACCCGAAATAGAAACATTAGATTTGATTAATAGTACTCAAAATGATAATGATTCGGAAATTTCAATCATGACAACAACAATGGAGCCAACAATAAATGAATTAATAACCGATAGACCTGATGAAATAATAAGAACAACAACAAATAATTCATCGATCAATATTATACCGGCTGAAGTTTTAATCAACAGTACGATCAATAATCGATTGATGAATCAAACAAATAATTTTAAAATATTCTGTACATATGATGCATATCGATCGATTCCATTCGCCGAAAATGACAATGATAATAATAATAGTAGTAATAATGATAAAGGTCGCTATTTTGATATCGATCAATTGGAAAAGAATTCAGTATTTTTAAAATATTGTACCCATCTAATCTATGCATTTGCCAATATTGATCTAAATGGTGAATTATATACCGGATTGAATACAATGCATCAGGATAGTTTAGTTCGTGATAGAAATCGTGAATATAATGAAGCATTTCTTGTACGTTTTCGAAAACTTAAACAAAATAATCCACATTTACGGTTATTGATCGCTGTAGGTGGATGGGATACACCACCGCAATTGTTTTCGTTAATGGTTGCAACTGGAAAACTTCGTGAACGTCTTAGTGAAAATATTTATAAATTTGTATTTGAAAATGGATTCGATGGTGCCATCATTGCATGGTTCTATCCAGTTTATGGCAGTAAATCATCAATGGATTCTCGTTCAACACGTGCAACAAGCCATAGCATGTTTCAATTTAATGATAAACAAAATCTTATAAAATTTGTTCGGTCATTGCGTAAGAAATTCGATTCGATTAGTAGGAAAAATCGTTTGGAATTAGGATTAATGGTACCACCATTTCAGGATTTTATTGATCGTGGTTATGATGCAAAAAAATTAGCTGAGTAAGTATCTTATCGTTGATGACATATTGCAAATTTCCCCTGAGAATCTTATACGTATGTTTTGATTTTGATTATTTTAAATATATCCTTAGGTCAGTAGATCATTTGATATTGATGACATATGATTATTATGGATCCTGGGAGAATCATGTACATCATTTTTCGCCACTATATGCACAGAACAGTTCATTCGATGAACGAAATGTTAAATTCAATATCGTAAGTTTTTATTTTCTTGACAATTTCTATTTAATTTAGTTTCAAACCCATTATTTATATTTCTTGTTTATTTGTTTGATTTGAAAAAAAACAGAATTCTACAGTCAACTATTGGATCAAAGAAAAACAAGCACCAAGAAATCAGACAATGATTGGTTTCGCATTTTATGGACGAAGTTTTACTCTAGCCAATCATTCGAATGGAAAAATTGGTTCATTATCAAATGGGCCAGGTTTAGCTGGACCAATTACTAATCGTCCTGGATTGCTTTCATTTAATGAGGTAATTTCTAATTGATAATCATAATAAAAAGTGATTTCTATTTTTTTTCTAATTTAACAACAAAGTTATGTGAATTATATCTTGGTAATCCAAACGTACGATTAAGTGAAGACGAATATCGTATAACAGCCAATTTACAATTGCATGATCAATGGGTCGGTTTCGATGATGAGCTAAGCCTTTATTTAAAAACAAAATACGCTCTGGGCAATCATTTATCCGGTATATTTATATGGTCAATCAATTATGATGATTATAGAAATCGTTGTGGATGGGGACAATTTCCATTATTAAAAGCGGTGAATAAAGCTGTCGAACATTGTGCATTATGGAAACAATGTTCACCATACATGATAAGAGATCATCATCATCATCATCAGTCACAAATAGCTCAAAACTCATCATCATTACCAGTAACGACTAGAAGACGAAAAAGATGAACAGATGTCTATTTGACGTTTTCAATGGATAAATGTGAAAAATTCCTCAGAAAAAGAAAATTCTTTTCATACAAACATCCACACATACATGCACTAACAAATACACTACATTAATATTTTGATGGGATAGAATATATTGTGCCTTTGGCTTGGAATATTGTTGTTGTTTGGTTTGAAAAACCAATTTCTTTTTATATTTTTTTTTTCAACTGAAATTTTAAACTTACACTTGTTCTCATTATAATGATGTTTGGATTTTATTACACAACATACATTACATCACATCACAAACATACCGAGAAAGAGAAAAAGAGACGATGAAAAATCAATCATCAAAATGTTATGAATTTGACAGAATTATATTTTGTTTTTCATTTTTTTTTCAAATTTGTTACTCATTTGTTTCAACAACAACAACGTAAAAAATAACAATTTACTTGTAAATATTAAAAAAAGAAATTTAATTTAAAAATTATATTAATCTAATTAATTTGTTGAAATATTTAAAAATTGATTGAAATTGATGAAAAGTATGATGTTGTTCGGTTTGTTTGGTGTAATTTCTTGATTGTATAGAAAATTTTTTGCACAATGTTTTCGATACAAATTATGATGACCTTTCTATTCATGTTATTTATTGTTAAATCATCGGCTATTGATGAAGTAAATATGACAATGATAAATACAGTGAAAGATTTAGAATCTCCAAATTATGATGAGAAAAGTAAAGAAGTTTTAAAGTCATGTCTTGAACGATCAACAAAAATGATGGAAAATGTAACGGTTGATGATGAAAATGAACATTGTCATTGTATTGGAATGTTAACAACTCAATGTATTAAAGATTTTTGCAAAAATGTGACCAAAAATGATAATACTATTATTATTTGTAATTCACCATTCGATTATCATAAAGAAATAAATTGTAAACCAATAGGAAATGAATCATGGGCTGGAAAAATATCACCAGAATTTTGTATGGAATTATCAGAAAAATCATTTTTTATTCCGGCATGGGCAATGATTTTAATTGCTATCATTCTAGTATCAATAATGAAATCGTCATTATGTGTATACTGTTGTCAAATTGATCGTGAAAGATCAATAACATCAAGTCCTATTCAACAACAATTATTAATTCCGGAATCAAATAATTATCAATTATCAGCAGTATCATCAAATCAATCCGTATCACAATCATCAGCAACACCATCATCAGCACCATTATCGGATGCATTTAAAACACCATCAGGTCCTGCATATTCATTATCATCATCATCGGTACCATCACCACGGCAACAACAGCAAAAACAACAACAACAACAACAGGCACAATCAACAGTTCCAATAAGTAATGATAATTTAAGCATTTGTAATGCACCACTCAATCAATCAACAATAAGTGATTTAATGGGTTCGGATAAAGTTTTAAATCAACAAGCAATAAAGACATTACCAATAAAATCACAACAACGATTATCACTTTCATCAACAACAGATGTATCCGGTGTACCGATACCGATTAGTTTACTTGAACAAGGACAAAAAAGTGAAATGATTTATAAATCAAAAGGATTTTATCGACCAGTATCAATTAAAAAAACAACATTATCATTATTATCTAAATATAAGATTAAAAACAAAATCAAAAGCAAACAACAACTACAACCGCAACAACAACAACAAAAAAAACAACAAAAAAAACCTCTAAGAAAACCAACAAAAAGTCGTATACGGCCAAATATTTCCGAATTACGTCGTGTTGTAATGAAAGATTATGATGAAAAACAACCAAAACAAATCTTGATTGGATAAAAAGAATAAAAATTTATAATTTTTAGATTCAGGTTAAGAAATGAAATTATCATGAAATTGTATGATAAACTAAAATATGTTTTTTTTATTTTTAAAAAAATCTAAAAACATTTCAAATATTTTTATTCAATTTTAATGAATAGTTTTTTTGGTTTGAAAAAGAAGTGGTATTTATTCACTCCTCTTGAAAACACAGAAAAATTCATGTGTTTCCGTTTTTTGCAAAAAAATGTGGATAAAACAAACAATCAAACAAATGGAAGTGAAAATAAAAATTTAAATTGCATTCGAATTGCAAACAACAATAACGTGGGTGAATTCAGGTGCATACAGTGCTGAAATAAATGAAATGCTCTCCAATTTCTTGTTGTGCATGTATTTATGAAGATATGGAAGCATCATTTATAAATGTTAATATGCCATGTTATTAAACTGTTAATTTATATCGTCCAGCATAGCTTTGATAAGCATCATCAATTGAACCATCCATTGTTGTCGATGTTGTTGTATTTGTTGTTGTTGTCGTATCACTACGGCCACCATCATCATCATGATACATTTGTGCAATATTTGGATTTGAACTTGGACTACGTAATCGATAATTAGATGATGAATAAGGTACACCAACATTTGCACTTGGTATTTGTGGTAATTGATGATGATGATGGTGATGTAGATGTTGTTGTTGCTGTTGTTGAAGATGATGATGATACAATTGTTGTTGATGGTGCGTTGAATAACCTTGTTGTCCTTGATATTGTTGCTGCTGTTGATGATGATGATGATGTGGAGTTGTTGGACCAGAAAATGAATGTCGTGTTGTCGTTGGTAATGGAATACCTTGTTCAAGATTACTACCAAGATATGATGGTTGAGCAATATTACCAATTGATGATGGTTGCATAGGACTACTTGGTACAGGTGTAGCACTTCTTTCTGTCGAATAATTGATTGCTTCGGGTCGTGGAATTGTTCTTGAACCTGAATTAGATCCGCCAGAAATAGCTGCTGCAGCTGCAATAGCAGCCGAATTCATATCATCGACAATATGATTATAATAACCTGGATTTGTTTCTAATTGTGTTAAACGATACGATGATGATGATGGTGTATTTGTTCCAGTACCAGAACCACCAGCACCACTTCCCGAACCACTATTATTTCCATAACCGATTAAATTTGAATTACACGGTGGATTAGGTTTCGATGGTGATGATATACTAAGACGTGACATATTATTTTGTACATTAATCTGATTATTAGCCATTGATATTGATCGTTGATAGGCAAATATTTGTCGCTCAAGGCTATAATTTTCTTTGGTCAATGCAGCTATTTCTCGTCTTTGTTTTGTTCGAAGAAAAAAAATTATTATATAGAGAAAAATAAGACAAACGCAATTAATTTTTTTTCTGATGCTCTGGATCATCAATCAAAATCATAATTGAAAAAAATACCTCATTTGATGGCAATGCATTCGAGCTATATCATCATATTTATGATAGATATGATTGAATAACATTATCGAATCATACCATTCAACATGTACATTCAAAATGTTATCATTTTCCAGATATTTTTTACCCGACGATGATTTAATCTAATTTTGAATGATCGAAAAAAATTGCAACGAATTAACATATAAATTTGATAAAAAAAATATATACAGTTAAAGAATACATACATCGGATACAGGGATATCGGTTTCCATTACGACACCCATATCGATACCATCCTGTATATAGTAATTATAATGTGGTGAATTTTTTACCAATATATTTTCCTGTTGTCCATTATGTAAATCTTGTGCAATCAGATAGATATACCAGGAAACATAACGAAGATGATTACGAGGAACCGAATGCATATCCATAAAATAAAGTTTTAATTTAAGATTTTCACCCTCCATATCTGATTCAATACTCCAGCCTTGTTTATTACGATCATAACAATTGATCGTTGGTGATATTGAACGTGTAATCGATACTTTTACATCACTGATCGGATTACAGCTATAGAATTCAAAATAAAGATTACAGATACCCATTGATGTTAATTGTGAAAATGTATGTGAATCAATTTGATAGCCACGAGATCTACCATTCATATCGGATATTTGTTCAATCATTCCAGAATCTTCACGAATTTGATCCTGACCTAATACAATACGATATTGTATACGGCATGAATTTTCGAATCCAGTCAAACGATTAAGAAATATTAAATAAGAACGATTTGATTTTCCTCCAACACCGCTACCACTACCACCGGTAGCATTAATAATATCCGAATCATTTTGTGAATCTTTAAATAATCCACGCACCATACTTGCCGCAGTACCACCACTATTTGTATTATGCATCACAATCGATAAATTCCATTCGAATGTAGCAAAATGAAAATAACTTGTTTCAAGTTTACCATTTTTAAACATTACTGTTGCCGAATTAGTCGATGCATTTGATTGTTGTTGCTGTTGTTGTTGTTGAGCATTTCCAGGATTTTGTAGACAAATATTTGTCTCATAAACAGTCATCACATTGCAAAGGCTTAATTCCAATAAAAATTCACCAGTTTCATCGCCAAAATTTCTAGTTTGTATATCCGATAATGGTATCCATTTATTAATTCCCTTTGATTTTTAAATTAAAAACAATTAAAATAAATAAAAAGAAAATTAATTAATTTTGAAAAAAAACAAAGCCAAAATAATTTAAAACAACAGAAAAATTTATTGAAAGTTATTTTATTGACGTAATCATTATGATAATGATGATAAAAAGCAGTAAATTTTTTTTAAGAAGCCACCACTTAATTGATAATCATGTTTTGGCCTAGTTTTTCTTCTAATGTATAAATTGAACTAAATTGTTTTTTTTCCTTCGCAGATCATCATCATCATTATCATCAATGAACATTTATTTAATATGATCCTGGTGAACATCACACACCATAAAAAAAACAATGTTAACATAAAAAATGAATTCCAACATTGTAGTCAAGAATCTGTGTACAATGATCATGTTTAAATGAGTATTATGTATGGTCATCATCTTGGTGGTGGTATAAATATTTCGTGTAAGGAGCTAATAAGCCTCTTAAGAATGGGCAATTTATGGTGTGCGTGTGTGTGTGTTTTGGTTCTTTTAGCTTAAAAGTAAAAAACTTGTACGTTTTTTTTATTGTTGCCTTTTCCAAAAACAATAATAATAATAATAATAAGATGAAAATGATGAAAAAAAGTAAAGAATAAAAGAATAAAAAGCAATATCTTTTCCATTTGAAAGATGCCAACTACAAGATAAAACAAAACAAAAACCGATAGAGAAAAAAGAAAAATAACTTGAAAGAATTGTATTATTAGATAGTTCAAACACTATAGTAAAGTATTTGTATGTTTACTTTCTTGATCTATACTGCGAACAAGAAAAAAACAAAGGATCAAGTTTTTTTTCTTCTTATGGTGAATGAATTGAAAATCAATAATAATAATAAAAATCGGATAAGAAATGAAATGAAAAAAATATGGATTCAAATCATACCATTTTGAGACCAAACAGAAAAAAAACAACAGACAATATACCACACACAAACACAGATAATTCTTGAAATTCCACATTCATTGAATATTAATGAAATATCAACGAATAAAAGTGCGTACACCCGAGATAGAACCTCTTTCTTTTATTCGGATATTTACCAATGGTCAACTGATAAAAAACAACAACTTTTTTTTTGTTATTCATTCCTGATTCTTGATATCAAAGTCTTAAGGGATAAAGTGTGCAAGTGTTTTACGATAGTAAAAAAGAATGAGAATGTCTTTCATACAAATATTGTTGATTAAATTTACTATTACTGATCTTATTGATTTGCAATTCGAATAACGAAAAAGAAAATAATAGAAAGAAAGAGAGAAACTTTCCGAAAAAAAACTAAACTTTCCAAAAAAAAGCTAAACTTTTTTATTTTCTTTATCTATCGATAAGGGTATAAACAGAGAATGATATTAATAAAAAAAAACCTAAAATACCAAACCCGATTGGTCACAAAAAATATTCCACTTTTTTTTTGCTTGATCTATTTTTCATTTTTACACTTTTTATATTTCGAAAAATGTCACCATTATTTTGGATTATGATGAATTTGATCATGATAACGATGATGATGATGATGATAATGGAATTTTTTTTTCTCGATGTTCATTCAACCATATAATATATGTTGGCAGGCCAGAACACCCCAAAAAAAAACATAACACTTTTATTTCATGTCAATTCCAACAACAACAACAACAACCACAACAATCATGATGATCAATTATCAAATTATTATATTTTTTCTTTTATAAGCAATCAATTTCATTTTAACATTTTTGTCGTCTTTAGTATTTTGTTCACTATGATTTTATCCAATAACAATAATTGATCCATTTGTTTTGTTTTGTTTTCACTAAAACTGTGGTCAAAAGACTATAAGCAACAAAACATTCGATATAAAACTTTGCTCGGGATTCTATGACGCCCTTTCAATTTTTTTTTTTGAAAATAAAATTCATTGTAAACACCCAAATCCGACCAACAACAATCAAAAAAAATTGTTCATTCGGTACAAATTATGATGATGGCAAACAATAAAATCAAAAAATTGAATCTTTTGCTTTCCCATTGAAAAATAGAAACATTTAAAAACAAAAAAAAAAAATCTGTCATACACACACATTTTTGAATTGCAAACAAACAGAATAAAAAATCTGAAAAACAAACAAGCAAAATTTCCCATGTTACAAAATATTTTTTTTTTCCTTTGGGTAATAAAATGTCTCAACAGAACCAAAAAAATTACATAGTTGTCAATGTTTTGTGAATGTTTATTTTTTTAAATTTTCAATTCAAACAAACAATTGATAATGATTATAGTGAAAATAATGATGATGATGATGATAAGAAAACATTCAAAGGTAGTTTATCATCATAATCATCACCTAATATAAAACATCAACTATGACGCCCTCAAGTAATATAATTTATAGTAAATGATGTGTGATGAATGAATGGATGGACCGAGTGAGAATTCTGTTTGAATTTTGTTTTTTTTTCGGCTACCCAGTATTTCGAAATTTTGAACGAAAAAAAAAAGTTTCTTTGAGTTTTTATTTTATTCCTCTAACTTTCTTGTTGTTTTGAATTGGGAAAAAACAAAATGAAATTAAATTTCGAATAAATGAGTTAATGAACCGATCGAAAAAAATTTTGTTGGATAATTATTTTGATTGATTTAATTGGGAAAAAAAACAATAAGATTATAAAATTTTTATACACAAAAGAATTTCTGGTTATAATTATCCAACAAATAAATAAGCTTTGATTTTGTTTTTTTCCAACTATTAATGATTTTAGCCGGACGATAAAAATAAATGATTAATTTTTAATCGAAACAAACAGTAGAAAATGCAAACTTTTTTTTGAAACTATTTTTTCAGAAGTTTTTTTTTGTGTTTGTTTTTGATGAAAATAAAACAAAACAAAAATTAATTTAGTTCATCAGTGCAGAATAATCCTATTGAACAAATTGGAACAAAAAACGGATATTGATTTAGTAGCAGAAAACGAAGAAAAAAAACCTCCGGAAATTCCACGTCTGTAATTTGTATCCGGAATTTTTTCAGTTTTCATTTTGGACAACAAACAAAAAATGAAACAAGTCATTATTGTTTCCCCCAAAAAAAAAGAATCACTAATTCTCTAACCCAATCATCAAACACTAACAAACNATGACGCCCTCAAGTAATATAATTTATAGTAAATGATGTGTGATGAATGAATGGATGGACCGAGTGAGAATTCTGTTTGAATTTTGTTTTTTTTTCGGTTCCTCAGTATTTCGAAATTTTGAACAAAAAAATAGTTTCTTTGGGTTTGACATTTTACTCCTCTAACTTTCTCGTTGTTTTGAATTGGGAAAAAACCAATGAATTCAAATTTCGAATAAATGAGTTAATGAACCGATCGAAAAATTTATTGTTGGATAATTATTTTGATTCATTTAATTGGGAAAAAACAATAAGATTATAAAATTTTTATACACAAAAGAATTTCTGGGTTATAATCTGGTTATAATTATCCTACAAATAAATAAGCTTTGATTTTGTTTTTTTTCCAACTATTAATGATTTTAGCCGGTCGATAAAAATAAATGATTAATTTTAATCGAAACAAACAGTAGAAAATGCAAACTTTTTTTGGAACTATTTTTTCAGAAATTTTTTTTTGTGTTTGTTTTTGATGAAACAAAAATTAATTTAGTTCATCAGTGCAGAATAATCCCATTGAAAGAATTTGAACAAAAAACGGATATTGATTTAGTAGCAGAAAACGAAGAAAAAAAACCTCCGGAAATTCCACGTCTGTAATTTGTATCCGGAATTTTTTCAGTTTTCATTTTGGACAACAAACAAAAAATGAAACAAGTCATTATTGTTTCCCCCAAAAAAAAAAGAATCACTAATTCTCTAACCCAATCATCAAACACTAACAAACAAACAAACAAAAAAATACCTAATCAAACAAAAAAAAATAATCATTATTAAGACATGTATATGATAATGATGACATTACAAACAAAAATGATGATGAATTATTAATCAAATTAAAAAAAAATGCAAAAAGAAATGCCTAACAAAATGAATGTATGAATATATTGATGAGAGAAAAGAAGAAGAAGAAGAATGATATTTTCTTCTTCGATATTTGATACGATTAACATGCATATGATGATGTAATTTGAAATTCAGTATCTACTGTTGTTGTTGTTACTATTTCAACAATATTTGTTTGTTTCATTAATTTAAAACAAACAAAGTAAATGAAAAAAAGAAAAATTTCTAAATTCAAAATCTCCAATTACATCTTTGGGAATTTTCTTATTTTATCATTAGTTGGGTCATTAGTTCTGTACATTAACTAATGATTTACACACACCGACAGACAAAATTGATGAATATTTTATTCATGTGATGAAATAAAACAAAAACAACAAAAAACAAAAACAAAAACAGAAACAACAACAAGCAGATGTCATCGATATTAATAAATTTTCATTAATATTATTGTTGTTATAATCAAATAAAATAAACTGAATAAAATCAAAATAAATAAAAGCAATGTGAGTGGGAAAAACAAAAACAAAAAATCCAAATAAATGTTTCATGGATTATGGACCAAAAAGGAAATGAAAACATTTTTCAATGTTCATTTAAATGAAATAAATTTCTGAATGAAACTGAAAAAAACAAGAAATTCAATATGAGAGTTCTCTTTTTTTCGAGACTATAAACGAAGACATGACATTTTTTTACCCATTTCGAAACACGAAAAGAAATAATGATGGATAATCTGTGTTGGACCACAAGAAAAACAATAAAAAAAAATTCTAACGAAATTCTAGCTAGAAAAAAAGGCTTGAAAAAGAACACTCATTAATCATTGGAATGGGCCAGAATTTTCAGTTTGATCATCATCAACACCACTATTTTATTTTAACATAATCGTGCCAAAAAAAACATCATTTGACAATCAAAACTAGGCTTTAATCGTTTTTTTCACCAAAAAAAATAAAAAGGTCTATATATGAAAAGTTTGGCCGCGTCCATTTTTTTCTTGACTAAACTCTTAATTCTATGAAAGAAAATTGGTTTTGTCGTTAACATTATTGTTGTGGTTGTGGTTGATTGAATAAAAAGAATTTCAATGCAGGCAATAAGTTGGACAACAAAAAAAAATAGGTGGCAAAGGAAAAGAAGCCATGAAAGAAAAGAAATTTGAATTTTTTTTTTGTCATTCAAATTATCGATTTGAATCAATGAATCGAAGAAAGTAATAATGATTTACTGTTAACGTTATAACAAAATATAGCTGAAAGCTATTTCTTTGCTTCTTTTTCTTGATGATATGAACAAATTCAATATTACTCGATCATATTCTTTATATATGATTATTGAAAAGTTTTGTTCAATCATTTTTATATGAAGAATATTTATTTAAAGAATGTGTTATATTATACTTTGTAATCATAGAATATCCGGTATTTTGTTATACTTAAAACTTGAGATATTGTTTTTTTTCTACATCTTTTCACTGTAATCGGATTCAATGGAACAGAACAAAATAAGAACAACAACAAGGAAAAAAGAATTTGTTTACTTACATGTGCCGGATGATCGCCACTAAATTTTGATTGTTTTTCACCATATTGTTCATTACGACTAAAATGTTCACGATTTAATAATGTAATACTAAAATCTGTATAGGTTATTGATGATGGTGATGTATCGCGTAGGATTAGATAAACACCTAAAATTTTATCATTAGCACGGGTAAATGAAATTGCCCAACGATGATAACCATAATAAAAATCTTTAGTTGTTGCATCACGATGTAAATCCCTTGTGACCGATCTAGTGACAATGAATGTAAATATTCCTGTATTGGATCGATCATTTAGTTTCGAAAAACGATGCAATAAAGCCATTTTTTTGTTTTGTTTTCTTTTCCTCAAATATTAAACACTTTTCGTTTCGTTTCGTTTATTTACACGATTTACGATACTACCAAATGATGATGATTATAGTATTTATTTCATCAAATATAATAGTTCAATTTGATTTTTGATTCTGTTTCCAATGATAAGATTCGAGAAAAAAGTCCTTAAGAAATAGATAAATAAAAATACAGAAAATGATACAATTAAAATAAATAAATTTATTTCATTTAATAGAATGATTCTACTAGAATCAATCGAATAATTTTTCAAGTTTGACGTCATTCAGTAAAGAATTTATTGATTTTAATCTATCAAATTAATTAAACAAGAAAAAAAAATCACTAAAAAATTTTCAACAAATTTAAACTTAAAAAAATTAATTACCATATTCGTTTTTTTCAAAACAGAGAAATGCTATGCAAATATTGATTTATTTATTTTTTTAGGAAAAACTAATGGAAATCAAACTACTGAAATGAATGTTTTTTTGTTTTTTTTTAATAGCAGGTTCAAGACAGGTAGCAAAATCAAGAAAACATTTTTTTTCAACAATCGATATTTTTTTTCGTAGAACATAAATTATGTTACTTTTCATTTCTATTCATAGAAAATGGCCAAATAATACAATGAAAAATGAAAACCATCTCTACAACTACTGACATATTTTGTTATTCATCCAAATCGATTGTAGTGTTTTTTTTTCGTGAAAAAAAAACGAAAATTCTTTCAAAAAACCAATAGAAAATTCATTCTATTGATTCTTTTTATTCCGGGCTTTTTTTCCATCATCATCATCGCATCGATTCTCACATTCAAACAAACAAACAAACAAAAAACAAAATCATCCATTCAACATAATGATAAAAATATCATTATCATCATATTATTTGATTGGAATATTAGAACGAAAAAAATGAAACAATATTTTGTAACTAGATATATATCGTATATTCTTGAGAATTTTCACAAATGACAAGATCAAACAACAACAGCCAAAAAAAAACGACGGTGAACAAAGAACAAAAAATGGCGTAAGGAATTGTTTGATTGTAATGATCAATTTCAATTATATATTTCCTTTTATTCTCTTGCTGGGACGAATAATGAAACAGAAGTGTCTTCTTTTTTTTTTGTTTTTTACAAAGGAAAACAATCATCTTTTGTGTGTGTGTGTGTGTGTGTGTGTGTTAATGTCGATTCCTTACAAAACTAAAAAAAACTGAGAATAAATTGAATTTTTCAAGTGGAACAAGAATAAGAAAAATTAAAGAAGAAAAAAAAATCTGTTTCTAATGATGAACAATGATGAGGGAAGGAAGAAGATGAAAAAATTCAGATGAATCATAAACGAAACCAACAAAACAATGACAAATGAAAAATTTTCTTTAAAATTATTAAAACTAAAAAAATGAAAAAGCCAAAATGATAAGAAATTGGTTTGAAAAGAAAATTTCCAAAGAATTTTACATTTCCAGATAAATGACAAATTCAAAAAACAAAAGCAAAAGAAATGCACCTGCTTGATATAATGTTTATTATTGTGTTAAGACAAACAACTAAGCAGAAAAAACAACAACAACAACAAAAACCATTATGTAATATTAAAAAATTTTATCATTAAACAAAATGATGATGAAAAAAAGATGAAAATTAATGGAGCAAAAAAGAATTCAGATATTTATCTTTTGTTGAGGGGGATAAAATATTTGCTTGCGGCTGAAAAACGAAATTGAAAAACTACCGCTACAAACCACTATTGTTGGAACATTATTTTTAATTTCAATTTAGTTTCAGTTTTGTTTACCTTTTATTTCAAAATGAGTTAAATTTTGTAAAAATCATGGTCCATAGTATACATAGTGTTATCTTTTGTTCCGGAATTTCCGAAAATTTATTATATTATCTACAAAGAAAAAAACAGGTAAATTAAAAAATATATTAATTAATGAGCATAAAGTAGGTAAGATGATGTTAATTACATCGAAAAGAATAATTTTCTTGATAAGGCAAAAAACAAAATTCAGCAAAAACAAAAAACAAAACAATGACTTATTGTTCTGGAATTTTTCAAAGTTTTTTCTCTCATTGCTCATAGCTTGGAAATAAAGAATTTCATTCAAGAATTCTAAAGGTAAATATCGACCAAATCAACCTAAATCGACTTTAGTATGTTTAAATAGGTTGTGGCAAGGTCGCTCACTATTCAAGAATCTTTTTTCTTTCAATTTTGTGAAAAATCTTGTTTTTGTTGTTGCTATTGTGCTCGCTTTATTTGTTCGAACAAAACTTTTTTTCCCATCATAACCCATCTTGTTGAAGAATACACACATATAGTGAATTAAAAAAAATTATCATGGACGACTTTAGAATATTAATTAGTCTCGACCATATGATGATTAGAATCGGAAAAGATAAAGAGTGAGTGAAGGAAGAAGAAAAATCATCAAACGATTGAAATGGTGAATAAACAATCACATGCACTTGCGATTCAAAATAAAAAATAACGAGAGAATAAATAATGACTGTTGTCTGTTGTTGTTTGGTTCATTAAAACCAGCCAGACCAAAAAAAAATTAATGTAAAAATTTAACTAAATTCCTGAAGAATATAATGAAAATTATGATCCACATACGTTACATTAATGGAAAAAAGTATTCAAAATTCGTATTCCAAACTATCTCTTAATAATAATGAAAAAATTGATATTTGACACCGAAAATGTTCTTTGATTTCACCAAAAAACATTGGTCATATTTTATTGATGAAATTAATGGATGTTATCAAATTTTTTCAAACTTTGATTTTTAAATAAAAAAAACTTAAAAATTCAGGAAAAAACCGAAATGTCAGACCAAATTCTTCTTCCACTTTTTTCCGCATTATTATCGATTTTTTATCACCTTTTTGCTATCAAAAAATGACAATCATCATCGATTTTTTTTGGTTATGATGTAGAAACGAAGGAAAAAATTCGTCTGTCGATGGCGCAATCAAATTTGATAATGATATTATGGTGGGAAAATAGAAGCAAAAAAAAAAACAGCCAGATGAATAAATGAATGATTGGCAAAAAAGGCATATGGAAACTTTATTATTCCAGACAAAAACAAAAAACAAAAATTTCATTTTTTTCAAGGACCATAATCATCATTTTCATCGTTGATAATGATGATGATGACAAATGCCAGATAATTTCCAACCCAAAAAATAAATAACATTACATTCCATTCAACAACTACTGGTATTAATAATAGAATTTTTCATTGTTTTTTTTGTCGTTTGTTCATTGTCATTATATTAAAATCATTTTTCAATGGCAAATGTACATAAATGATATAATGAGATACAACAACCAAGAACCCAACAAAACAGACAATGAAAATGTCAACATACACACCAAAAAAAATATATTAATGATAATTATTTTTTTTTGTTTTGTTTTGTTTCTCCCAAACATTCTTGAATTAACAAAAGCGTTTTTTTCTATTGTCATTGATGTAGTGTGTTCTGTTTTCTGGGGTTAAAATTTAATAAGGCATATATCCTATGATGATGATGATGATGATAATCGAAATTAATTATAAATCTATTCAATAATCACTATTATGGTTGACAAATCATTATTATCTATCGATTGTAAAGAGTAGAATGGAAAAAATGAACAATCAAAAAAAACGAAATTCTTCATATAATCAAAATGATGAAATTTCAAACCCTAGAAAAAAAATGGAACAATGAATCTGTACCATTTTCAATATCCACTTTTATTCAAAATAAATTCATTCATTTCAAAAGCCACAAGCTTTTCAATTGAAAATTCGTGATACATGATTACGATTAGCAAAAAAAAAAAAAAAAATGAGCTCATAATGGCAAAAGTCAAACATTTCTATCTTGCAATAAAATACCGAGAAAAAAAAGTTTTCAAATCCAGGAGCAATCATTATTTGCCATTTCATATTTAATTGTTATTATACAGTGTTTGTTTGTTTGTTTGAGTCAATGTCATTAGGATTTCATCAGAATTTTGCATTTATAAATTCTACGAATTTCAAAACGATTAATTATACAACCAATCTTTCTCATCATTGTCATTATTTGAAAATACTTTTATTCTATTCATTTTAAACAAAAAAAAAATTATTTAAAAAACGACAATGAAATATGCTTAGAGAATTGAATGAATGACAGTAGAACAAAAAAAAAGGATAAAATAATAATTCTGATATTTTGTTCGCCAAATATTCATCGATCCTCTATGGATCTTCATGAATAAATACTGGGGGAAAAATGCCAATTATTATGCACAAAAAAAAATTCTACATAACGATCGATTTGACAGTTGAAAATTATTATCCAATCGAATGAAATCAAATGAATTTTCTTTATTATATTCATAAAGTTTATTCAAAATGACAAATGTCATTACTGTAGAAGTAATAAAAAAAATTCTTCCTAGAAACCTGAAAAAATCAAAGAAAAAATTCTTTATATTTAAAGCTTGTTGTCATTCACCAATGACAACCAAAATGATGTTACATTTTCTGTTTTTTTTTTCTTTCATTCTTGAATGTATTCCCAGGAGCAAAAACAAATGATGATGATGATATTTGATATTTTATGTAAAAAGAGAGAAAAAAAACAAAAATAAGTGAAAAAGAAAGAAAAAATTCTTCAATTTTGTAAATGTGTGTCGTTTTTATGGCCTTCTTTCGACAAAAACCATGTCTTGTATTATACGATCATAATGATCGTTAGACCTAGTTAAACAAAAATAAAAATTCAAAAAAAATGATTATAAAAAACTCTAGAAACGAAACTAACGAATTAAATTATTGATAATAATGTTGCTAATCAATGTGGAAATGGATTGATTTGTTTTTGTTGTTGTTGTTATTCGCTTTAAGATATTGGGTGTTGTAATATGAAGGAGAAAAAAGAATGAAACAAACAAACAAACAAGCTTCAGATCGTGAAATATTAACAATTTTTTATATGGTTCATATTTGATGATGATGATGATGATGAAAGAAACAAGATATGAATTGTTTGTGGCATGTGGTTTTTTTACTTCACCACCCAAGACCCCCATTAAACAAATTGA